CTCTCCTAACAAATTTCAAGTATAGAGTATTATGAACTCCAGTCATCACATTGAATATTGGGTTCCCAAAACTTACTCAATTTACAACTGAACATTTGTACCCTTTCACCAACCCTCTCCATTTCCCCTACTCTTAACTCCTGGCAACGACCTTTCCACTTTCTGGCTTTATGAGTTCAACTTTTTAGGCTCCACATGTAAGTGAGATTATGTAGTATTTATATTCTTGTGTCTGCCTTATTTCACTTAGCATAATGTTTTCCAGCTTCATCCATGTTGTCATAAATGGCAGAATATGTTTCTCTTTTATGGGTGAATAATATTCCACTGTATATATACACCACACTTTCATCTCTTAATGGATACACAGATTAATGCCATACCTTGGCTACTGCAAATAATGATCCAATAAACATTAGGGGGCAGACATATTTTCAACATACTCATTTCATTCCTTTTAGATATATACTCAGAAGTGGGATTGCTTTTTCAGAACCTTCATACTGTTGAAGAACCTTCACAATAGCTATGCAGATTTACATTCCACCAACAAGGTAAAAGAGTTCTCTTTTCTCCACACTCTCACCAAAACTTAATATCTTCTCACTTTTTGATAAAAGACATCCTAACAGGTGTGAAGTGATATCTCATTGTGGTTTTGGTTTGCAATTCCTGAATGACTAGTGGTATTGAGCACTTTTTCATATATATGTATGTCTTCTTTGGGAAAAATATCTATTCAGGTCCTTCGCCCAATTTTTAATCATGTTATTTGTGTTTTTGCTATTGAGTTTTATGAGCTTCTTATATATTTTAGATACTAACCCCTTGTTAGATATGTGGAATGAAGATATTTTCTCCCACTCCATAGGTTGTCTTTTCATTTTGTTTATCATTTCCTAGGCTGAACAGAGTTTTTTATTGATGTAGTCTCATTTATTTTTGCATTTGTTCCCTGTGTTTTGGTAAAATATCCAAAAAAATCATTGCCAGTACCAATGTCAAGAGCTTTTCCTCTATATTTTCTTGCAGGTGTTCTACAATTTCAGTTCTTACATTTACCTTTTGTAACACGTTGTGAGTTTATAGTTTTGTGTATTATGTAAGATAAAGGTCCAATATCCTCCTTGTGCATATGCATATTGAATTTTTCAAACACCATTTCTTGAAGAGACTATCCTTTTCTTATTGTCTGTTCTAGCTGCCTTTATCAAAGAATAGTTTAGAGTATATTCATGGACTTACTTCTGGGATCTCAATTATCTTCATAAATCTGGTACCAATAAATTATTGTTATCTTAAGAATATTCCCACAGATATCCGTTAGATTTATGACTCAATAAACATTTGTGTTTAACTAATAATTAACAATCATTTGTTCAACTCTAATAGCATTCTAGACTCCAAAATCCACCTAAATATATAAGACTCTCACTCTCATGGTGATTTCAGAAATAATGGTCCTATTGTACTTGGATCTCTCATCTCTAATTACTTATCTGCAAAAAAAAAAAAAAAATCACCGTACACATTGAAATGCTTTATTTCATTATATTAAAATGGAAAGTTTACACATGGAGACTGCACAGTACCCTGTACATATGCTACACTATTTGTCCTTAAGTCTAGGGATTTCCTTTCCTTGGCATGAATTATAGGAGAGGTGCCTAACACCCAGACTGAGTGAGTTATTCTAGCTTATGGTGGTGTTGGAGAGAAAAGTGCATAAACCAGAGGATGTCATTAGACCAGTGACAATGGAGGAGAAAATATCCAGCGCTGACAGCCCACTCACTTGCAAGCTGATTGGTGTCAACATGCTGAGCAGTACAGACAGAAAGGCTTAGGAAGGAGTTTGCTGCATCTGGTGAGAAAGGAAGTGTAACAGCAAAAAGAGAACACAATATTTTACGTCTGTGTTGGCTCCACCTAGGAAAAGCAGACACAATGAATCTACAGTATGTATGGAGAAGAACTAACCACACGTATTAATACAGTCTTTGTGCCTCAGCTGTAAAACAGGTTCTGGGCTTGTAGTTAAAGTGGCTGCACAGATGGGGCCTTTTCCCCTTTCTTTGCAATATTCCATATTCTAATTATGACTTGCACTGCTTCTGGCACAAAAACAAGGCCACTGATGTGGCCCCAAGAGTAGGCATGATAAAAAGCCAGGCCCACGAACTCATGTGACTGCTCTTTTCCACTTCCTTTCTCCTCCCTGGGTTAATTCCGTCTGGGTTTTTTTTGTTTTTTTTTTTTTTTTTTTTTTTTTTTTTTTTTTTTTTGTGCTGACAGCATTTGGAATTCTTCAAGCTGTCTCTGGTTGCTTTTCACTCACTGAAGAAAGAAGATCTAGTCTTCAGAAGTAACTCTATACTTACTGGCAGGAGAGACAGCAGAGACTGATTAACAATGTGGTACAAAAATCCTGCAAGCATATAAAGTACCAATAACTGATTAGAGTAAAAAGGAACTTGTAAGGGCTAATGGAATTGTACAGTATTCTACATAAATTCCAAGTGCAGAATTTACATCATGTATGACAGGTTTCTTCACTTCACACAGTAGTACTTAATTGTGGCCCTAAATGTTACATTATCCATTTTAGTCCATAAAGGAATAACACCATAAAATTAATAAATATCACTAAGCAAGAAGTTCCAAATCATTATTCTATTTCTGTCTTTGCTAGTAGAGCCCTGTTAGTTTTCTATTTTATTTAAACTGGGTGTTTAGCTATTGAGTATTTGAGAATGCATTGAATTTCACCTTAACATTTCATTAAACATTTATAAAGAATGAATATTCTTAAAAATTAGTATCATGTAAGCTGTATAGCTTAAATATAGGAAAGACTCCTTCACAATTAGTACTCGTGTTTTAGCTCCTTGAATATACTAAGAGAATTCTCAGGTAGAGTCTTCTATTTCACTGCAATCTTTTTGAAACATTTAAAATCATTTTTTTCCAAAAAAGAGGTTAGAGTGGGAGAGAGAGCCAAAGCATAAGAGACTCTTAAAAACTGAGAACAACCTGAGGGTTGATGGGGGGTGGGAGGGAGGGGAGGGGAGGTGATGGGTATTGAAGAGGGCATCTTTTGGGATGAGCACTGGGTGTTGTATGGAAACTAATTTGACAATAAATTTCATAAAATAAAATAAAATCAGTTTTTTCCTTTTTGTATCTTGTTGTCATTCTTCCCTTCCCCCACCCCCCACTACCCCACCCCGCCCCCCACACAAATATCTCAATACCGCCTTTGGCATGGTTGGTAATCAGAAACATCATTATATGCATTTATTCGTTCGTATGCATTCAACAAATATTTACTGAATGCCCAGAACTATAGTAGTTAACACAAGAGAATGAAGTCTATTACTCTATAAAAAGGAAATAGGTAATAGATGAAATAAAAAAGTAAAATATATAGTAAGCTAGATACTGAAAGGTATTACAGACAAAAATAAAAAGAGAATGGAATTTTAATTATGGTGGCCAGGAAATGCTTCACTGAGGCTATTTGCACTACAATCAAGAAAGGAAGCTAGTCCTGTGTATTTACGCTAGAAACTGGAGAGGATTCTGGAGAGGAAATGAGCGCAAGAGTTTTGAAGGCAGATTATGCGTCAGAGTGTGAGAAGAAGAGCAGAGCAGCCAGTATCACCAGAATGGAGCAACCAGCAAAGATGACCAAAGAGATAGAGACAGGACCAGATTATGCAGATCAATGTAAACACTGTGGATTTTACTCCAGGTGAGATGAGAAGCCATTGGACTATTTATGTGGAAGAGTGACAAGTTTGAATGTATGCTGTGTAAGTCAGCTATATTGATAATAAACTATTAGGGTAACACAGAGAATACGAGCTAGAAGGATATTATAATTATTCATTCAAGAAACAATGACTTAGACTAAATTGTCAGAAGTAAAGGGAATGCAAAATGTTTGCATTGTAGATGTATTTTAGAGATAGAGTGAGCAGTAGTTTGTGATGGACTGAAAGCAGCTTATAAAAGAAAGAGAGAGAAATTGACTCCAGAGATTTGGGCCTTGAGCAAATGGAAGTGTGGAGTTACAACTCCTGATACGGAGAAGGTTCTGTGAGGAGCAGGTCGGTGGGAAGGGTAAGAGTGTGATTTAGGAATTGCTAAGTTTGAGGAGCCTATTAGGTATCTAAGTGGAGAGAACTTAAGCTGAGAGAAGTCCAGGATGGAGATATCCACTGAAGAGTTGTCAGTAGAAAAATTATTTCTGAAATCATGAAAAAGATAAAACTGTAAAGATAGTCAGTATAAGGATAGAAGGGAAGAATTTGAAGTCTTAGCTCTGGTGTACTCCAATAATTCGTGGTCAGGAAAATTAAGAGCAATCTACAAAGAGCCGTAGAGGGAGGATAAAGAGAGAGAGAGGGTAAAAAAGGAAAACCTGAAGAGTGTAATATCCTGGAATCCACACAGGGAAACTTTCAAGGAAAAGGGAGTGATCCACTATATCAAATTTTGATGTTGGGTCAAGTGAGATAGTACACAAAACCTGATTAGGATTTAGCACTATGGAGGGCCTTGGTGATTTAATAAAAGCTATTTCATTAGAGTGGTGACTTCAAAACTTGACTGGAAAGGGTTTAAAAGACAAAGGTAGGAGAAGAATTGGGGACTGTTAATTCAGACAACATTTTGAAAGTTTTTATACAAAAATAAATAAGAAATTCAGTGGAAGCTAATTGGGGACAGGGTCAATAAAGTCATTTTTTAAGATGGGAGAAATAAGAGCATGTTTGTACACTGATAAAAATGACGTAGTAGAAAGTGGAGGGAAATGACACAGGAAGGAGAACAACGTCTATAAATAGAAGAGAAAGCCAAGTGGAGGAATTGTCTTTAGATAGGAACACGCTTAAGTCAAACACTGTCAAAGCAACAGATGAAAGGAGGGGCTGTGGAAGCTCTTTTCTGCTTGTTTCTATTTTCTCGGGAAGCAGTCATCAGCTGGGACTTAGGATTTAAAAGGAAGTATTAGAAGTTTGAGGAGAGAAGAAAAAGTAGGAAGTATTTTTCAGGGAGAGTGGGAGAATGAATGTACTAGGGAAATATAATATGATTGCCAGGCAGCATTAAGAGCCCACTTGAGATTAGAGATCATAAATTTAAAGGAAGACAGTCATTATGGTTGTGATTTTCTGCAGCCGTATTCAGCTGTATGGGAGCAGATGTGGAGTAGGCAGAGAGATGGATTTAACCATGGATTAGCCATGGATGAAATTCTGTAAGACAGACACAATGCAAGGGAAGAGGGAGTAATTATAAGGATGGGTCACAAGATGTAAATTGGGTGAATAAGAAAGGGACAATGACAACTGGGTGACAGTGAAAAAGTGGTGTGAGCAATTGACTTTGGTCCCAGTAGAATACAAATATGTGTGAATTAGAAAGACAAAAGGTAATGGTCACGGAGGCAGATTCCTGAAATGGAAAGCTTTGGAAATTAAGAGTTGTTAGTATAAAGAAATTATATGCTATAACCTGAGTATTGATTGTCCTGTGTTGATAGAAGATGGCCCTTTTAGGGGACGTAAGGTCAAGGCACTGAGAAGCTAGACGGAAGCATTATATGACCAAGGATAAAACGGGAGTAGTTTAGGACACAGTGATTTTTTTTTTTTAAACGTTTATTTATTTTGGGGACAGAGAGAGACAGAGCATGAATGGGGGAGGGGCAGAGAGAGAGGGAGACACAGAATCGGAAACAGGCTCCAGGCTCCGAGCCGTCAGCCCAGAGCCTGACGCGGGGCTCGAACTCACGGACCGCGAGATCGTGACCTGGCTGAAGTCAGACGCTTAGCTTAACCGACTGCGCCACCCAGGCGCCCCAGGACACAGTGATTTTTATCTCTTGAAAGGAAAAGAGAGAATGACCTGGAGATACATAAAGGAGTGCAATAAGGAAGGGTAATAGGAGCTCACAGCATGAACTTTAAAACTGGAAGGATTGATGAAAGAAGGAGGAAAGATTGCCTGGAAGTGGCAAAGTGCATTTTCCCCATCTCCAGGCCCTGTGGTATTAGAATGTGCAAGAGAAAAAGCCACTCATTGAGAGGACTTTTGAAAAAGAGCCTCCTTAAGGAAGAATCAGTTTGTAATGGGAGTGGTTCTCAACCTTGGCTGCTCATCTCATAAATAGTTTAGACAGAGGATCAATTGACTGACAGATGATAGATTTATTTAAGATAAATAGTTTCCAGTTTCCCTGTTTAAATGTTCCCCCCAAGTTCGAACAGACGGTCTACAACATGTTCAAAACAAGTAATTTTTCAGTTACTTAAATCATATGAATGGCATTATTTTCATCTTCTTTATGCAGTGAGAAAACAAACCACCGTCTTGCACCTTAATTAGCTGATATTACCTCAGAGGAATTACTGAAATGTATTTAAGCAGGAAATGACCTCATTTAAACATTTTTTTTTTTTAGTATCAAGAGGGAATTTTCCAACAATAATAAAGTCTACTTCTTCATGTTACACTAAAGGGATAGGATTGAATGTGTCACGGGGTACAATTCTGAGAAGGCTACTGACAACAACTACAGATAGGCCATGCAGCCATGTAGACCTAAATGTCTACGCAGCATCGATCCTTCGGACATGATACTCAAGAAGACCGGGAAATACAATGTGAGTCCACCACATTAGGGGGAAATGCCGCATTCATTTCCTTACTAAAGGTGTCATGGTGTACAGTCTATGGTGAATTAACATACAAATGGTGGTGGGAACAAGTTCAAGTGCTTAATAATAAGAGAGAAAATAACCAAGTCAAATCGATTTTTAAGACTGGATATTTTATCATTTTTAAGTTTATTCATTTATTCCTCCAGACAGCATGTTTTGAGGGTCTAATATATGGGAGGCACTCGGCTGGCTAAAGAGGACACAGCAACAAACGAACTCTTAACTTCCCAAAGTTTATAATGTGGCTTCTGCACAGTGAAGGAAATAATCAACAAAAGTAAAGGGCAGCCCACAGAATGGGAGAAGATATTTGCACAATTTACAATCTTCTTCATGCTTGTGAAGAATATTTTTTACTCACCACTCAAAAAGGCAAGGTATATGTGTATGCCCTGATAATTATAATTACAGCAATTACCTTTCATTTAGATATTTACTCCTAAATTTATTTCCTGATACCTCTTGTGAAGACTCAAGATACCTAGGAGTCTTACAAAATTTGGAATGAGGAACCACAAACTCAGAAAAAAACTAGTATTCTTAGTAAATCTCTCATGATTTTTGTGACTTTAAAAATCAAGAATAAACATTTCTGTCACCCCCAGTGAGGGTGGAGGCAGTTAAAATCAACTCAGATGTCTTTGGGTTTTGTTTTTTAACATGAATACTAATAACACAGATTAAATAAGAATAAACAGAGATACAAGGGTTGAAGAAAAAAATTTTTAAATGCATTTGACCATAACTCTTCTGAGAAGAGGAACAAAATGGAGTAATGTTGCAGAAAGAAATGAAAATCCCCAAGGCAACCCAGAGAAGGGAGAAGAGCTTCTCTTAAAGTACAAATGGGTCTTTGTTGGATTTTAACAAGCCCTTGAAGGGAAGATTCCTGGAGATGTCTGAAGTTCTTCATTTAATGTGAAAATACTTTACACTTTCTCTTAAACAAAGAAATCACCCCACTGGCTAGGAGCCAGAGCATGCACATTTTTTGAGGCACCAGAGGAAAAGAGAAAAGAAGAAAGAAGGCCAGCACTAGCACATTCACCCTCAGGGAAGAATGTGCCCCACTTCCCAGAGTTGTAATCAGTGGCAGTTCTGGATCCTGATTAATGAGTCCTTCCATGTTCCCCGCTCTGCTGTCCCTCTGCTGCTCTACAGTTTCAAGTTTCGCCCCAAATCTGGAAGTGCGTCCTCAGTGAAGAAAGCCCTGAGATGATGTGCCGGGAATAAAAGGGAAATGCAGATATTGGTGCTACCTGACCAGCAGGAAATTTGAACTGTAGCAACTGAGATGGCCCAAAGAGTTGTTGAAATGTAAGATAAAGTTCAGAAAGGGATTACTATGTCATGCTTCTTTTTGAGGGGGGCAGGGAGCAGAGTTTGAGTTAAAAGCTTAGGAGTCAGTGTGTGGGACACTATCACTTTTTCATTGTGTCCTGCTCAGGGCTGGGACTTCTTGGAGTCACAGCTGCAGTGAGGCTTTCTACTTAACCTGAAAAAGGCTTTTGGTGTCATTTGGGTGGCTGAGCTGGGATAACTCGTCTGTGAGTTATGATTTATTCAGATATGTGACTATGATATTCACAGACACATTAATGCTAGTAGTAACACCTACATTTGCATACTATCTGCTCAACAGCATTAGGGCTTTATAAATATAAAGTAAACGAATCTCCCCAAGAAGGCTATATGGCACAGAAATGGAATTACAGGGATGTACGCCATCGACTCACCATCTCACAGCGAGGAAATGGTGGTCCTTGCTTCAGAGTCTGTGCTTTCGAGCACTCAACCATTTGCATCTCCATTCAAGGAAAACCCTGATATGAGTACTAATTATCATGTTCAAAGATGCCCAGGTGCTCCTTTTAAGAGAAACTAGTACTTTATAAAAGTACAAAAGGAGGAAGTATCTAAGACAGCAACAAAGAACAGGAGTTAAGAATTAGGACTGAGTTTGGAGGCTGCCTTTTGCCTGTTTCCAAGCTACGTGACACTGAGCAAAGGGCAATGTTGTTAAAACTCAGTTTTCTCACCCGTAGGATGGGGATAACAATAGCAGGTTTGCCATAAAGAGTAAATGAGATAATGCATGTTAGGTAGCACCTATCCGGTACAAGAAAATTATAATAAACTGTAGCCAAAAACTTAATGCCTTTAACATAGATTTCTCATAAACAATCTGATAGTGAATTTACTCCAGTGAAATCTAAGCTTTCCAATTATTTTACACCCACAATATAAATTAGAGGACTGTTTTATGTATTTCAAGAACTTGGATATGGCACGGATACGTTTGGCTACAAAAAAACAAATGTGAAAATTAACTTCGGCACATCCAAATCCGGGCATCTAGCTGACAACATGAAGCAAATTATTAGACTGAGAAGTGACTATGTGCCACACATCAGAACAAGGAATGCCTCTCTTCGTTTGCTTCCAAAACTGTCCCTCAGTCTCAGACTTCTTCTGGGTTACTTTGCAGTCACTGTCCCTGGAGGAGCAGTTGCTTGTAGCTCAGCACTGTGGCTTCTAGCACCAAAGGAAGCTTTCAGACCAGATCACTCTAAGTCACTCTGTGTCAAGCTGCCAAAGACTTTGTGGTTAAGAAGAATGGTTGAAGCCTTCTATAATTTAAAACCAGGGTGTTTTTTTTTCCACTGGAGTGATTCAATGTACATTGTGTGCACACATGTTCCAGTTACAGATGGAGACTCAAATGACTATCAGACCCTTTGGTGTGAGTTCAAATTTCCTGAAGGTGTTGGAATGTCTGTAAAACATCAGATGCCCTTCTGCTTGAGCTTTTTTTTTTTTTTTTAATAAATACATTTTAATTCTTTGCTGATTTGACATCTCGCTTTATTTACGGAAAGATTTGACAGTGCCTTTGAAAAATTATTCGTAAAAAGTTTTTGAGTCTCTGGCAGGTAACTGATTTTCATATTAAGCACTTAGATCTGATTTGCCTATAACCGAAGACTAGTCATTGTGTTTGTGTGTGTTCCCTTCCCACCAAAAAATCTAAAATCTTTATTCTTGTTCCAATACTATTAGTCATATTTTACAGAATTATTGGTGAGGTGCTGTCATCACTCTAACGATTTAGTTTTCCTACTTAACCTTCAGAAATTCTTTTCAGAGAAGCTTGGGCAATGTTATCAATGTATACTTGGGCATTTTATTTCTAAGCCTTGTGATAATTGTGAAGTAGCTTCCACTTACCTCTTTTTGCACTAATCCTGATTGTCAGAGACAGAAAAAAAGCCTCCTGTGGTGTTGTGCTTCAAGTAGCAGGTCCTGCAGTCCAATGGCTTCCACCAGCTGCCTTTGTTTTTAATGTCTGAGAATCAGAATGTTAAGAAATTGCCGTGAAAAGAAAAATATTTGAAGCAGATATAGTCTTCAGTTGACACCCTGCATTTTTGGTCTCAAGCAAAAAATGAAAACACAGAATATCCATCATCAGCCACCAACCCTGCAGATAGGCTGAAAATGTAGCTGTTTATATAACATGCTTTCAGGTGTATTACTCCCCAGCATGGGATCTCTTGCTCCCTTTCCGATGGCAAAAATTCTACCATTAGAGTCATTAGAGTCATTCCTAAGAATATTAAAGCAATGCCACTGTAACAATGTAATATTACGATGCCATATCATCAATTCAAGACAGGCTCTTCATGCTGTGGTAGCAAATGACCTCCAAGTCATAGTGATTTAAAATCATAAAAGTTTTCATTATTTTCTTACTTATGTGACAGGTCTATCAGTGGGGCAGAGGGCTTCTGTTCATCAGTCATTCAGAGACTTCTCTTATCATCATTCCTAAAGAAAAAAAAAATCCTAAATGGGTCTGAAAGTCACAAGGAGGTGCCCAGATCCCTACCCTGATACTGATCAGTTCTACTCACAACTCACCGGCCAGCACTTGTAACATGGTCTCTACAACCACAAACGGGTCAGCAAGTACATCCAATATGCACCTGAAGCAGTGGGAAAGCATTTAGTAGGAGCACTAAATGACTCCTTCTTTAAGGAATTCTGAATTTGGAAACAGCCTTTACCTTAATGCTTGAGAAATTCTGAAAAGTCCTGAAGAAGCAAAGGTGAAGGAAAGCAAGGCTAATTGGGTTCAGAGGCTTCTCGGGACATAAGCCCAAGGGAGAGGAACCTGTTTGTTTGGAAACAAACAAACAAACAAACAAACAAACAAACAAAACAGATGTTAAACAAAAATAAGAGGCAGATCAATTTATTATGCAACTTTGTTCATATCAGTTGTGCTTAAAACTACATTGTAATTAGTGTCAAATTTTTAAAAATGTAAGTATAGCATTTATACTTTAAAAATCACACAAAGTAATATTATATGTGAGGAGCACCTGGGTGGCTCAGTCAGTTAAGCGTCTGACTTGGCTCAGGTCATGATCTTGCAGTCCGCTGAGTTCAAGTCCCGCATTGGGCTCTGTGCTGACAGCTCAAAGCCTGGAGCCTGCTTCCAATTCTGTGTCATCCTCTCTCTCTGCCCCTCCCCACTCACGATCTGTCTCTCAAAATGAATAAACGCTAAAAAAATTAAAAATATATATACTATTTGACAAGATTATCACAAAAATGTTAAACACACTTATATTTGTGTAATACTACAAATAACAAAGCCAGGTCATTCATTATTTGCTTCAAATTAGCATTGAAAGAAAATAGCCAAAACATGATATGGACCTACGCTAAGGTTTTTTAAATGTCTTTATTTATTTACTTTGAGAGAGAGAGAGAGAGAGTTTATTGTAAGTCTCCTCAGGATTCACTAAAATGAATAACTACTTGCCAGGAAATCAGTTTTCTTTTGAGAACTATAAGTGGCAGCCACATTTCAATTTGTCTGCTTCATACTTAGATGACAATATTTTCATAACTAATTACATTTTTTATAGCCACTCTCTCTAACCATGAAGCTACCCATCGGTGCTAGATCACTCAACAGTCCCTTAACAGTTAAGTACTTTTTATTGTATGACACACTGCAATTGTGTATCAATTCATCTGTTGAGGAACATTTGAGTCATTTCCAGTCTTTGGTATTACAAATAAAGGTGCTTTGGACATTTAGGTGCAAGTCTTTATATAGACATAAGCATTCATTTCTATAGAGCCTGTACCTAGGAATAGAATGACTAGCCATAGAAAAGTGTGATTTTAAATTTTTAAGAAATTGCCAAACTCTGTTCCAAAGTGATTATTCAATTTTCCTTTCCCTTGAGCATTGTATGAGAGTTCCAAATGTTCCATTTTCTCAAACACTTGGTATAGCCAGCCTTTTTAATTTTAGGCATTCTAACAGGTGTGCAGTAATATCTCATTGTGGATTTAATTTGAATTTTTCTAACAATGAGTACGTTTTTATTCACCATTTAAACTATTTTTTGAGGTATCTGTTGATGTCTTTTGTTTCTTCTTTGATTGGATTGTCTGCTTTTTTTCTCTTTTTCTTTCTTTCTTTCTTTTTTTTTTTTTTTTTTTTTTTGGAATTGATTTGTAGGAACTCTACATGTTCTTGATTCAAATCTTTTGTCTGACAGATGTGTTTTGGATAGTTTCTACCAGGCTGTCATTTGCTTTTCATTTTCTTAACTGTATTTTTGGAAGAGTAAGTGAAAGAAATGAAAAATATTAGGCAAATGACACTGAAAGTTAGATATTAGTTTTTCTAAAGGAAGGAGCTGTCCTCAAAATTGCATCACATTCTTTCTGGGACTAAGATATTAGGTATCATTAAGATACGCAAAATTCAAAACTAAAGAAAATCATATAAAAAACACCATCACAACAATGTCCATTTCCTGAGTGCCAAGGCTGTGCCAAACAATGTGGTTGGCTACTTAGATAGGAAGTGACTGAGATAGAAGCCTGTCCAACTCCAGAATTATACAACTTTTATCTCTGCCAAAGCCAGCATATTTCTGTTAGTGTTTCATGATTAGTCTGAGAGCCTAAAAAACAGTGAACAAAAAGTACACATTGGTAAACTTCCACTTCTACAAACTTAGCTTTTTTAAGTACTGTGATATTGAGTCTGAAAAGTAGAACATTGAAAGTGATGATCTCAAAATGTCGGATCAATCTTTCCATCCATCTTAATTTGGGGGACTCAAAGGAGTGGATGATACAGGATTACTCTAAATAACAAAGAGGAGCTGTTTGCATTTATTTTTTAAATTATTTTTTTTTCTTAATGGTTATCTAACATACTTTTAAATGTTAAAGCAAACAGGTATACTGTGAGGACATTCATATGTATTTTTAAGGTAAAATTTCAAGTTTCTGGAAAATATTTTTTTTAATTATTTGAAAATTTTATTTATTTGATTTGAGAGAGAGAGAGAGAGCATGAGCAGGGGAGGAGGAAAGAGAGGAAGAGAGAGAATTCCAAGCAAGCTCCATGCTGTCAGTGCAGAGTCTGGAGCGGGGCTTGAACTCATGAACCATGAGATCATGACCTGAGCCGCAATCAAGAGTTAGATGCTTTACTGACTGAGCCATCCAGCTGCCCCAGAAAATATTATTTTTATGGTTGATTATTTCAATTATACCCTCATGTACTGGCATTCTTTATTCACTGGCATTTGTCATTTGGGTCTTTCTGAAAAGACAGCTATTTATTGAGTTTCGAGTCAAGGAGAGTTTGATGCTCAAGTCTTGAGTAGTGGTAAAAAGTTATGCATAGGGTTAATTCTGACTTCCATGTGATCAGTCATAATTTTAAGCTCATGGACTGAGATTAAATGATAAAAAGTCACACCAGAAGAAGGTACAAAGTTGAGGAAATATGTTTATATAAAATATGGAAAATATAAGAAAATAGTAAAATGTAGATTTAAACGCAAATATGTCAGTAATTATTTATCAACAGCAACAACTCTATGTGTGTTGGAAGAAATATATCTAAAAACAAAGTTAAGAAAATAATTGAAAGTAACAAATAGAAAAATATGAAAAGCAGAAACAGCAAACAAAGCAACTATAGTGATTTATCACAAAGTATATTACAAGGCATAAAGCATTACTAAAGAGATGAAAAGAAAATATTTATGGGTAATAAGAGGTTCAATTGGCCAGAAAGATATAACAATTCTAAATACCTAGTTTTATAGCTTCAATTTTATGAGACAAAAATTAACAGAAATTCAAGGAAAAATACAAAATAAATACAGAATATTCTAAAAATTATGATTAAACACTGAGCTATAAAGCAATGACTAAAAATAATATTAACCACAATGTGGTTAAAGATGCCAAAACCTGGGGCGCCTGGGTGGCGCAGTCGGTTAAGCGTCCGACTTCAGCCAGGTCACGATCTCGCAGTCCGTGGGTTCGAGCCCCGCGTCAGGCTCTGGGCTGATGGCTCGGAGCCTGGAGCCTGTTTCCGATTCTGTGTCTGCCTGTCTCTCTGCCCCTCCCCCGTTCATGCTCTGTCTCTCTCTGTCCCAAAAATAAATAAATAAATTAATTAAAAAAAAAAAAAGATGCCAAAACCAAATCTAGAAAAAAATAAAAATAATATTCCAATGAGGAAGGTGTTATCCCAGAAATTCTAGAATGAGTCAACCTTTGAAAACCAATCAGTGTATTTAATCACATCAACAAATAAATTAGAAATGCTATTATTCAGAAAAAGAATTAGCCAAACTTTAATATTCATTACTTAGAAAAACTTTTATTTTTTTAGCAAAGTTTTCATAAAACTGAATTTAAAAACATTTTAAAACAAAAAAAACCAAAAAACTTTCTTCTATACTAAACATATCTACAAAAATGCACAGCAAAATATAAAATTATAAATTTTAAAAGTCTTTCTCACTAATAAATATTCTATTATCAACAATATGTCCAACATTTTATTGGATTCCCAAGCAATTACAGCAAGACAGAAAAGAAAATAAAATGTCTACGGCATTGAAAGAAACAAAACTGTTTTGCTCTTCACAGTGAGAAAATCCAAAAAATTCTACATGTAAATTATTAAAACAAGTAAGTACATCAGGGCTACTGAATATAAGGTTGTAAGAGTGCTCCTGAGGAAAAAAAAGAATGAATAGGATAGACAGATGTGTTTTCAGCAAATGGCTTATGCAATTGTAAGGACAGGCAAGTATGAAATCTGTAGAGTGACAGGCTGGAAATTCAGGCTGGAATTGATATTGCATTCTTGAGGTTGAAATCTTCAGGGCAAGCCAACAGGCAGAGTTGTTTCTCCTCCTCCTCCTCCTCCTCCTCCTCCTCCTCCTCCTCCTCCTCCTCCTTCTCCCTCTTCTCCCTACTTCCCCTCCCCCTTTTCCCCTTCCCCCTTATTCCTTTTTCTTCCTTCCTCCTTCTTCTTTCTTCCTTCTTTATTCTGACAGAGAGAGTTAGCATGCACAAGAAAGGGAGGGGGCAGAGAAAGAAAGAATCTCAAGCAGGTCCTGAGCTGTCACCACAGAGCCTGATGCAAGTCTTGATCCCAAGTATCTTGAGATACCGACCTGAGCTGAAACCCTGAGGCTGATGCTTAACTGACTGAACCACTCAGGCGCCCCCAGCAGGCAGAGTTTTTATACTGCAATTCTGAGACAATTGTTTCTTTTTGAGGAAACTTCAGTCTTTGGTCCAAAGGCATTCAACTTATTGAATGTGATTCTCCCATGTTATGGGAAATACTCTGCTTTACTCAAAGTCTAATGAGTTAAATATTAATCACATTTTAAAAATAGCTTCATAACATCTTGATTGTTATTAAATAAATAAATGGGCAACATAGCCTAGTCAAGTTCACACATAAAATTACCCATCACAGTCTAGCACTTGTTGTGAACTTGGCACCCCTACACGTCTCCTTAAACCATATTTAATCTCTAATGACACAATCCAAATATACTTCTGCCTAATATGATACAACTATCCCGTGTGCAACCCAAAATCCACTAATTCTTTTACCAGAAGATGATGCAAACTCCTTGGGTGATAATCCCTTTTCCCTCATATCCTGTAACTTAAATACTATGATGTAAAGTTAACAAAACTTAAATACCATGATGTAAAGTTAATACATCTTATATAAGAAGAAAAACAGTATGTCTACATGTACAGAGACACACACAAATATATTCATAGTAGAATAAGGAAGAAATAGTCATAACGATTATAGTTCTAGTTTCTGAAACTGATCACCTGGTTGTGGACGGTATTAATAACCACCTCTATCCATTCCATATTGTCTTAGCCCTCAGGAAGCATGTCAGCAGAACATGGCTCTTTACCTGCTACAGAGACCCAAATAGTCATTCACGAAGAGTCTAGGCTATTAGTAGTCCTGCCTGAATTGTGTTGTTGTAATTTTCCACTGACTCTAACCACAGAGCATGGTAGCAGTAGGAGATGCCTAACAGAGCTTCTGTATTTCAGACATTCTCTTCCTTACGTTCATTTTATAGTACCAGCTCAATTTCCTCCTGGAAATTGGAACCATTCCCCCACCAGTATAATAACTCCCTACTTTGACTATTGATTTAGAGTCAGTCTTAACTTCCAGTTCAATGGAATCATTCAGTGTCCCCTGTTGGAAGCCTTTCTTCCTTTGAAACTAAGATCTCTAGACCAGCAAAACAGAAAATGGTGAAGACAGGAAGGAAAATTTTTGCTGGTGGACCACTAAGGGTAATAGTGAGTGGAGCCACTTCCATTCCCACCCCTAGCTTCTTGGACCCATGAGTCCTGGATATGAAATAAATAGCATATGTTGAGCACTGATTCTCAAGATTCCCTTATATATTAATTATATATTATATCATATTATATTATTTATATCTGTATATACATACTATATATTCTAATATATAGAGGATGAGTTATAAATCATACCTTTTTATATAATGTATGAAAGCATACATCACAGTATTAAATATTATTGACAGATATATAAAGTATTAAAACTTAGACAGAAAAAACACACAAAATATAAGGACAGGGTAACATTTGTATAAGCAAAGTGGCATGATTGGAGAGACGTATAAAGAGAACTTCAATTATGAACTTGTTATTAAATTTTTTTTTTCTGAAGCAAATATGGCCAAAAAAAAAAAAAAAACACTGAATTTTTCAAATGGGGTATGTGAGTCAATGGTATGGACTGAACTGTGTCCTCCTAAAATTCATATTTTGAAGTCCTAAACTCATTACGATGATATTTGGAGATGGGGCTGTTAGGTGGTAATTAGGTCCAGATGAGGTCGTGAGGGTGGGACCCTCATAGTGGGCTTAGTGCCCTCATAAGAAGAGGCTTCAGAAAACTTGCTCCCTGTCTCTCCACTATGTGTGAATACACCCAGGAGGCAGCCATCTGGAGACCAGGAAGAGAGCTCTCACCAGAACCCTACCCACTGGCACCCTCATCTCAGACTTTGAGCCTCCCATACTGTGGGAGGCTCCCATAAACTTCTGTTGTTGAATCCACCCAATTCATGGTATTTTGCTATGGGCCCACAAGCTGAGAGAGTCATCATTATGCTATTTATATTATAACTCCTCACATTTAAAAAATGACGCCCCTTTAAAAAAAATTTCATCACCATAAATAGCAAGGTCATGTTGCCCAAAGAATGCATGGAACCATGGAATGCAGCAACAATTAAAAATAAGTGAAGGCATTCTTCAATTAAAAGCAAGTGAAGGCATTCTTCAAATTTAAATTACTACACAAATAGCAGGTATTGTAAAATCCTTGAAGGCAGGAATTATATGAATATCCCCAGTGCCTAGTGCAATACTTGCCATATACCAGTGCTTAATGTCTGTTGTATATAAAGAGTACATAAGTTAAACAACTTCTAAAACTACCCAAAGAAACAAACTTTACAACCAATGTTTTCTGAAATTCCATAAAGACATAAAGCTACATCAATAACAACTAAATATTTCTTTGAGCGGCTTATTATTATGTAACATGTTTCTTAACTTTTAAAGTTACTATAAGTAACATGGACCTCTTGGTCTGATAAAAACAATCTTCTAATATCTTCTTTATACAAATTAGCAACTCTGACTTTCCCTGCTGTCTTTATAACTCTTTTCAATTTCCCTTCCCTAGCCTTCCTTTTCTGGTCCAAAGTTGGATCCTTTCATACTAAATAGGGGCATGTGATAGCTTCCTTATTTGTCTTCTTTTGAACTAATAGTCCCTAAGAAACTATTATCATTTTTATTTTCTGTCAGCCCCAAGACACATACTGCAACTTTTTCAGGAAAAATGATCACATTTTGTTTATTAACCTGCAACAGACAACGCTCAGATTTTTTTTATTGATATATAAATAAGCTATCATTGTAGAGAACCACATCTAGAGTGTGGACCTGGATGCTATTTCTACAAATGGAGCTATCGAGGAAATTTTAAAAAGAGTGGTTGCAAGCAAGCACTGTATATACAGGTTTTTCTTTCTCATTTCTTTTGTCTTCTTTTGTCTCCTTTCCTTTCCTTCCTTTCTTCCTTTCTCTTTTTCTCTCTTCTCTTTTCTTTTTTCTTCTCTAACATCATATGTGTTTATACTTTCCCTAACTTTGCAAACGTGTTAATTCAAACTGGTCTCCTAAGTATTCCCTCCTGTTGGTGGCATTTGGCTGTATAGTAAAATGAGCAGCTCCCACAATTGTTAATGCTTCCTTCCTCAAAGGGAGAGAAGTACAAATTTAAGTTTGTGTTACTCCCCACCTGAGGCAAGATGTCTCGTCGTTTTTTGGTGAATTCAAATAATTGCTACAACAGTTTGTTCTTATTTGCATTATATAGAACTATAGCAACAATATTTGCACTGTTATTAACCTGTTTTGCAGTAAATGGTGTTTACTTATGGCCTTGTACATGTGGTATCTATTAAGTAACATCCCCAAGAATGGAAGCTTGCTTACTTGCTAAATGGAAAACAAAATGTCAAAAGTAATTGAGGGGAAATGAAAAGTAAATGGCAAATTTTGACAGGCTTAAGGCTTACTCAAATTATCAAAAATGCAGATTACTTAGACATTAATAAATGAAATACTAATAACAGTTCTTCAGGCTTGACTGGAACTATTTATGGCAAGATTTCAACATTTCTTCACATAATATGACACATTTACATTTTCCCAATGCAGTTAAGATTTCAATTATTAATGTAATACATATTTTATTAGTCATTTAGTAATACTGTAGAATAATTGAAAAACGCAGTGAATGATTTATAAAACGAGAACAGTGATTCCAAGAGACTTTCTTCAATTTAAGCAAGAAAATAATACTTTTTTTATAGAAGGAAAACACCATCTTCCATGGCTTTATTATTGTTGAATTTATAGCTCATATTTCAGTTGTCTTTAAAAATGATTTGAGATGGCCTAGCATAAACATAATGCAACCCATGTTACTTTAAAAAATATATATTTTAAATATTTATTTACTTTTGAGAAAGAGAGAGACCGAACATGAGCAGGGGAGGGGCAGAGAGAGAGGGAGACACAGAATACGAGGCAGGCTCCAGGCTGTGAGCTGTCAGCACAGAGCCTGAAGTGGGGCTCATACTCGTGAGCCGTGTGATCATGACCTGAGTGAAATCTGAGGCTTAGCTGCCTGAGCCACCAAGGCACCCCAATTAAAAATATTTTTAAATGTGAATGATAGGAGTCATTTGGGAAAGGAGAATCTGAGTACTTTGGCCAAAGGGTAAAAGTGGTATCTCACCAAGTGTTTTCTGCTCAGAAAGAGAATTTGTTGTTGCCAGCATCTCATGTGACATCAGATCCAATATGAGAAATGTTCAACCATTCTGCAAGATGATGCTACTCAGAACTTGAGCAAGAATTGAATTTCCTCTGGGAAGGTGTTCTTTTTTTTTTTTAAGTTTTTTAAAATTTATTTTAACTAATCTCTACACCTCATGTGGGGCTCTAACCCAAGACCCCTAGATCAAGAGCCACACACTCCTCCAACTGAGCCAGCCAGGTGCCCCTCCTCTGGTAAATTGTTGTGCATCTACCTCATTGACAATGTGGAAAAAATGCTGGGAACTAACATAACATCAGAAATTGCCCACCTGTAGCACCTGGGTGAATCAGTAGGTTGAGTATCTAACTCTTGATTTCAGCTCGGGTCATGATCTCACAGTTTATAAGATCAAGCCCAGGCAAAAGGCTCTGCACTGACAGCGGAAAGCCTGCTTGGGATTCTGTCTTTCCCTCTCCCTCTGACCCTACCCCAGTCAACCACACTCTCTTTCTCTCTCAAAGAAAATCAGGATTTAAAAACTATAGGCCAATAGGTAAGACTTTGAACTATGCCACCACTCAATCCTTGATATAGCAGAGTATTAGAACACAAATTCCAAAACCCAAAGAAATTTGGAGAGGTTATACTATGTCTGTGGATAGGTGGAAGAAAGAACTGGAAATAAATCTAGAACCTTGGATCTTTCATTCTCCAACTTACCAATTTTCATTGACAAACCTTAAAAAAATCCTAATGCAACAATATTAGGTTTCTGTTTTTTATGTAATCAAACTAATCTCACAACTGAGTTCCCATCCTGTAAGGACGTTGAGGAAGACTCCATTTCAGTTTTCCTGGGGGTCTCCCTACCCAGAGTAGTACAAAAGTCCCAATGTTAACAAAATGGGAAATCGTTCTGAGTCACATATCACAGTTGACATTGCTGCCCTCCAGAGGACTGATGTCCTCTGCCTTCAGGAGCCGTGATGCCCCTTTTTAGGCATGTTTGAAAAAGCTGAAAATATTCTTCTCAGGGAAGCTCCAGGGACTTGTGTGACCAATGGATCTTTAACCTCTCTCTTGAGTCATACTAATACCCCCATATTTTTCTGCTTCTCAAAAGCACACCCCTCTCTTCTGCCTCCACAAGACCCCAACAATGTACTTTCACTCATCCTAGGAGAAGTCTACATCATGAAGTTTCTATTTGCTGCCCTGCAAAGACCTCCAAGGAGAAGAATAACAAAGATCAGCTGTCTGCCTAGAATGAAGGGAAGAGAAAAATTGTACGGAGCACAAATGCTATTTAATCTTGAAACCAAATATTGCCACCAGAATGACTTAAAAATGATAAAAAGTTTGTCAGAACGTTTTAACTTTAATACTAACTGAACCAAAATGTGCAAGGTATTGTATCTTACCTTTTCAATGCAACCCATTTTAAGAGGTCATGAAGCACATGATGTAATTTTTTTCCCATTCATTTTTGTTCGGTTTCTTTGAATTCAAACTAAAATTGACTTCATCACTCATTTGACTCTCCTCTCCAAACTCTCCCCAATCCACTGATTTCTTTCCTCTTGTCTGTGTTGGTGATTGCACTGCCAAGGTAAGTCCTGTGATATCTCTTAAAGAAAAGAAGCAAGAAACCAAAATAACTCAACCCATTTAGGCAATCCGTTATGGTAGCTCCTACACAAGCTATGGACACCCATCTCTCTGTTTTTACAGAAAGTACTTCTCTATGATAAGGTATGGCTCTTCTACATCTGGAGCAACCTCCAGGATTCTATAAGTCCAGGTCAAGACCTACCTTCTCCAAAAAAAGTGCTCCTCAACCTCTTTTTTTTTTTCTTCTTGGAAACAGTCGTTCCTTTTGTCTGAAAACTCTCAGATTTGCTTCTCTGCAACATTTCACTATTTCCTGGAGTATATACTTGTCTTAGGCATCTTATGGTTGTGCTTATATTTTTATTTACTTTTTTGCACTTATGATATTTTTAAATCATTTATATTATTTATAAGACTTTGCCTATGTGTCTCTAGACCATGAGCTTTGAGTGTGAGGCTATGATTCTTCTCCATAAGTTCTCCATACAGAGATCTCCATAGGCCCCCAGTGAGAGGCCCCCTGTGAAACTGTTGTATCCTGCCTTCAAGATGTCTGAGAGGAATGTACAGCCATACCTCAGCCTGGTGATTCTGGCAGAATTTAGAGAAAAACATGTTTCCAGTGTAAATTAACATAGAATAAATTAGGTAAGCAAAGGCATTTGATGCCTTTATATTTCTCACACATTACATTAATATTTTAAATGTGTTCCATATACATATATGTGTACTTATCTATTTATATATACACTCTCCTTATCAATAAAATGGCTTAGTATACATCCTGATTTTTGAGAGAGTTGGAGAAAGGAACCCCACATTTTCTGGAATAGAGAAAGAGGAAATTCAACTAGTGCAGGAGGTATCTTTCCTCCAAAAGAAAGCGGAAAACTTCCTCCAGCAACCAAGACCCAATCTAATTTTAAAAGGTCCTTTTTATGAATGTAAAAATGAATGCTATTTGAATTATCCATTCATCAAAGCATTAAACTTAAAAACGAATTTCTGCTCTCCAGAATGGCGCCATTGCACATTTCTGCTCCAGAATAATTCGTGTGGCTATATCTGGCAGCCAAACATGAAAGTGTGGGTGTTGAGTGGCTGGCAGCTGGCCCAGTATTTAACCCTGCTGTTTTAGAATGCCATAAAATAAGCACAATTTAATCTTCCCAAATCATTTGGTCAGTGACTGTGATTTCCGCAGAAAATAACTTCAAAGAAGACAGGCACCTTTGTTGATGCTTGTTTAAGCAGCTTTGAGTGCCAACATATTTAAGGATAGGAAGCACAAACCTCAAAGCCTATAATACATTCTTGGGATTATATACCAAGGGGATGTGTAGACTGGCCTATTAAATTTCCCTGGTGGTAAGATGTGCTTAGATTGACACAGTTAAGAGATAAGGTCATCAGATAAAAAGTCTGGCTTAGTTAAGTAGAACATGACACTCTTGATCTCAGGATTGTAAATTCAAGCCCCACCTTAGGTGTTTAGATTACTTAAAAATAAAATATTTTGGGCTCCTGGGTGGCTCAGTCACTTAAGTGTCAGTTCAGGTCATGATCTAGTGGTTGGTGAGTTAGAGCCCCCCTCAGTCTCTGTGCTGACAGCTCAGAGCCTGGAGCCCGATTCAGATTCTGTCTCCCTCTCTCTCTCTGCCCCTCCCCGGCTCATGTTCTGTCTCTCTCTCTCTCTCTCTCTCTCTCTCTTTCTCTCTCTCTCTCTCTCTCTCTCTTTCAAAAATAAGTAAACATTTAAAAATAAATAAAATATTTAAAATAAAAGTCATCACAAATGGATAGGTACTGCTAGTTAAAAATCTATGAAAGTAGAGACTTTGCCCTAGATACTGAAAACAGACTGGTGGTTGCCAGAGGTGGGCTGGGGGTGGATAAAATGGATGAAGGGAGTCAAAAGGTACAAAATTCCAATTATAAAATAAGTAAATCATGGCGATGTGATGTACAGCATTGGAACTAAAGTTAATAACACTGTAGTGCATGTTTGAAAGCTGGTAAGAGAGTAAACCTTACAAGTTCTCATCACAAGAAAAAGTGCTTTTTGTAAATATATGTGGTGATGGATGTGAACTAAACTTATTGTCATCATTTAAAAAGATACACAAATATGAAATCATTATATACACCTGAAACTAATATAATGCACATCAATTATATTTGAATTTTAAAAAGATTGAGACTTTGCTATAAAAAAACATAAATCAGCATATAAAACTATGATGTTTACTTATGACCTGGAAAAAAAAAAAACACTTCTTTAGGATACTCTCCATAATAACCTCCATTTAATTGATGACATGAAATAAAGATTGTATCAATTTATCTCATGTTTAGTTGGGAACATAATAAACAACTATTTCTTTTAATGTTTACTTATCTATTTTTGGGAGAGAGAGAGCAGGAAAGCAGGGAAGGAAGAGAGAGGGAGACAGAATCTAAAGCAGGTTCTAAGATCCAAGCTGTGAACTCAGACTGGACTCAGGACTCAAACTTACGAACTGTGAGATCATGATCTGAGCCAAAGTCAGACACTTAACCAACTGAACAACCCAGGCACCCCACGAACAACTAGTTTTTTAAGCTGTCATTTGACAGTTTTGGAGAATATTACATGATGTAATTTCAGTAAGTGTATCCATTATATGTAGAAACAAACTCTAGGGAAAGTACCTGATCTCCTTTGATTAATGCTGAGAATCTATTTTAAATTAAGGAAACCAAACCTGACCTACTCTAGTATGAGGGAACCTGATGTCATAAACGAATTTTGGTGTTTTCAGTAAAACTCTAAGACATGATTTATTTTTAAGAGCTTCCCATCTTGTCTTGAATAAAAAAAAAAAAAATGAAAGACCAAAAATACATTATTTTTCACAATGCATTTATCTAACTTAGACTTACATATGTAAAAGTAGTTTAAACCAAAATTACTTCTAATATCAATAACACAAGGCAATTTGCCTTCTTTATCTTACCACTGAAGACGAACATAGATAAGTCACATTACATATTTATTAAGATGCCTAAGAATATTTTTCTGTCATCAATTTTGTCCATTATTTGCTGTGCAAGTATTCTATTTTGCCTCTCTTTATATTTTCCAGTGACAACTTTTATTTTATTTTATTTTTTTTAAGTTATTTTTTTTTTCAACATTTATTTATTTTTTGGGACAGAGAGAGACAGAGCATGAACGGGGGAGGGGCAGAGAGAGGGAGACACAGAATCGGAAACAGGCTCCAGGCTCTGAGCCATCAGCCCAGAGCCCAACGCGGGGCTCGAACTCCCGGACCGCGAGATCGTGACCTGGCTGAAGTCGGACGCTTAACCGACTGCGCCACCCAGGCGCCCCTCCAGTGACAACTTTTAATTCGCTTCTCAGTCCCAGTCTCTTACATAACTCAACCCATTTCTTAGATTTTCAGTTCCTTGATCTCTTTCTCTTAACTTTCTTTTCCAATCCATACTTAATTTCTTCCCTACTTAAAATGGGTTCCATGATTTGTCCTAATACTACCCTCAAATTCCTTGCCCCTTGACTATCTTTGTGTTGTACTCTTTGGAATGTCAATTTCTATCTCTGATTCATTCTAACTAGTTACTTTGTTATTTTTCCTGGCTACCAGCGATTACCAGAAAAAAATTAAATGGCTTAATTCTATTAATAAATGCCATTACAAACATGATATTAGCTGGAGCTATTCTCATAGTGATTCTTATTTTACCCAGAGATTGTTATGTTCTTCTCATACCTATATGATTCACGTTCTGCAAAAGATCTATCTTTGGAAATCACAGGGCAAAATTTCCTCCCCTCAAATCCCACAGGGATAAAGTTCGGGATCATTCCATGAGGAAAGTAACCTAGAGTGTGACAACTACTAGTTGATCATGAGGGCGTCTAAAACAGGTGGTAGAGGAGGGGACAAGAGTATTAATTACTCTCCAAAAGATGACTCACTAAATAAACCCAGAATAAACCAAACGTTTTCTGAATCTTCATGTAGCAGATGTTCTATCTTTTCTTAAAGATTGATGTCAATTATTCCTACCAGTACTGTGACTCATTTGCTTTCTTCATGGTCTTTGGCATAAGGAGCCTGAAGTAAGTGACTGATAGTTATATCATAGAATTCCGAGGGACTATCACTGTGTACACTGATGGAAGAATTCTCCTTTGAGAACCATAACCTCTCGATTCACAGACCCTAAATTTGTGGCAATGAGAAGTACAAGGACCCCAAGTCTGTCACTGGGAGTGATGGTAAGTGGGAATATTTGTACTTCAACTACTTGGTTCCCAGGTTCATGTATTCTCTTTGAAGACAAAACCTCAGATAATCGTGTTTCATTTACAGTATACACTCAACCCTGAGAATAATGTAGTCCTGGAGGAGGATACTTGCAGGACATAATTTCAAACTTGTGCCTCAGCCACATCTTTAAGAGGTCAAGATACTGTGTTCTGAGGCTAGTGACTGGAAAAGAACCGTGGGATCTCTTGGTCATTTTTCCACTGCCACATTTCCTTTGATATACTTACCAATATTAGTTTTATTTGTGAATAAAAACACTCTGCAAGCTCTCAGATAGTGGGTCTAGAGAAAGCTCTGTTGGCATGAAAGTCAATCCCATAGCAAGAATAAGTGTCAATTACAGAGAATATGAATTGCGATTCTTTCAGAGTGAAAGGGTCCAATGTAGTCCACCAAGAAGCTGACTGTTCTCTTCAAGGAACAGCCATGTACTAGGGTCCAGGATTGATTTCTTTGCTGACAATTTGCGTATTCAACAGGGAAAGTCACTAGATTAGCACTGGTAAGTCAGTGCCCATGCAGAGCCCCCATGACTACATTCTTCATTGTCCATAGTGCCAGCACTAGGGTGGATTATCATGGAGGTTGGGTGATGTCTACTGGCCAAGTCACTGTATCAATTTGGTTGCTCCCTTCTGTGGACAATGTGTGTTTTCTCTCAGAGATATTGACATACCAATCAAAGATCTTCACATTTTGTGTTTGTTTCATAGGTCCAAATACAGGTCACTTCTCCAGACCTCTTGGTCCCCAATTTTACATTCTTCCTTTTCTATGTCCCTGACTAACCAGCTATTGCCACTATTGATGAGTTCATGTGACCATGAGGTATTTCTCTTTCCACACAAAGTGAATGCCAAATACAATACTTCCAGCTTTACTTATTGAAGAGTTTTCCTACACCACTGCCTTCCAGGGAAACCTCTGCTTGGAGTTGTGATTCATCCATGTTTTCACCTAACATCATGATAACATACCAACCCTTTAGTGAACTCATGACTGAGGGGCATTCTCTTCCATCACCTGTTTATAAGCGAACTTCAACACTGCAGTAGGTGTGACTTGGGGGAGATGTGCTGCTACAGGAGTGGTAGATAACATGGTGTGGTGGAAGGGATTGTCTGGGCTACTAGCTTATGCAATTTATTATCTCTGCTTACTCCTGACCCTGGATGTATCATTTCCACCTTACAACTGTTGGGTTCCATCTGACCGTATTACTTAAATAATCTTAGAGGATTCAGTACATGGTGGCCATCTCTGGCTATTTAATCACTGAATGTCACCAGGTCAGAAGCTCAATTCCTGCCAGGGCCCAGCTGCATACCAGGAGCTGGCTTTCAGTAGGTATGCAGTTCATTACAATAAATAATGCGGCCTTGTTCCAGAAACCTGGGGGTCTATGTTTTAATATTTCCACCAGTGATGCCTCTGGTCTCATATTACCACAGGGGCTATGTTTTCATTCTCCCAATGCACATAATCCTGGTATCACAGTAGAATATGGCTCAAGAGACACTGTGATTACACCATATTATTCCCTTTCCTGCTTTGAGCCCCACTAAAAATCACGATAGCCTTCCATGTCACCTAGAAGATGTATTAGAACATCAGTCTTAAGTGCTGAAGATGCTAGCTAGAGAATTCAGAGTTTTGTTACAGAATAGCGAGTTTTGTTACAGAATAGCGAGTTTTGTGCTTCTTTCTAGAAAACTTATTTAAATCTCAACAATCACCAAATTTTTCTTTGGACTGGTAGTATATGAACTTGGATAGGAACATTTTTACCTCTCTATTTACCATTTCCATCAATTATGTTCCACAGTTGTATTAGGCAATACCTATTACTGTGTCATGAATAGAAATCATAGATATTTTCATATTATGTTATAGTTATTATATATATCTTGAACTAGTATTTTTATACATGATTTTAATATTTTGAGGTATTAGACCTGCCTCTATCTCTTAATATTTAATAATTTAATTAATGTATATATTACATTAAAAATGCATGTTCAACATATTTGACATAATATTTCAATATAATAGATTTAACTTACAATTCTATAAATTTCTTCATTTATTTACAAATATTTTTACTCTGTAAACTTCTACAGAATGCCACAGAAGTCCAGTTTATAACATAAAAACATCTAGAACCCCTACCTAGAACAAGCCTCTCTCTCTGGTGAGTACGCCTCTATGACATTCAGGTCATCCACCCTAAAGCAGCCTCCTGGGTGCTTTTTACAACATCCTGTTTTTTAGATTTCTTTTCATCACCATGTTTATAAATGCCTATATTTCCTCGTTCATATGGCTGGCTGTTGTTGGCTCACACTTGATCTGGTTGACATTTCCTTCTTAAAATGTCCCACTTTAACATGTCAGGCTTATCCCTCTAGACTTTCTTCAATGGATAAACTTCCTTTGAAAGATAATTTTCCTTAGTTTTTGTCCACTAACACTTCTTTATTCTCTAATTCATTTTCCTATGTGGATAACTTCATCCATTGACACTAGTCCAAACATCATTAAAATGTATTATTCCCAAGGGGATATACAAGTCCATAATCCCTTATGTGTCATCCTGAAATCCCTAAACCTCCTTTTTCTCTACAGAAGTCACTGGTAGCAAAACATTACCTGAAATTACAAAATAGCCTATACTTACCTCATGTCGTATGAATATTCATACATTTCATCAATAGAATTTGTACTATGGTTTATTACATGGTGCAGCCAGGATCCTGCTAAGAATACTACCTTTCAAAGGATGGGAGTAAACTATTACCTTTTTTTCATTTAAATTATAGTTAGTTGGGGTGCTTGGGTGTCTCAGTCATTTAAATGTCCAACTCTTGGTTTCTGATCAGATAGTGATCTCACAGTCCCTGAGATCAAGGCTTGAATGGGTTCTGTGCTAACAGCATGGAGCCTGCTTGAGATTCTCTCTCTCTCTCTTTCTCTGCCCTTCCCCCACTCATTCACACACATACTCTCTCTCTCTCTCTCAAAAAGAAATAAACTTTAAAAAATTGAAAAAAAATTGAGTTAACATACAGGGCAATTTTGGTTTTAAGAGTAAAATTCAGTGATTCATCACTCACATACAACACCCAGTGCTCAACCACAAGTGCCCTCCTTAGGACCCATCGTTCACCTAGTCC